TACTATTCTGTAACTCAACTATCAAGGCACGCTGACTTCCATTAAATCTGTTTGTTTGTCATCAAAACGTTGGAAGTTTTAGAAATGAATGTTTATATTTCCATGCTAGATAATCGAATAACTTACAAGGTTTCAAAACATTTATATTAACGAGAACATAACTTGATAACATGGACACACGTATGTTGGATGGTTAACCTACGAACATGCATAGTTTCTACGTAGGTTGCGTACGATATTCCTATGAATATAACAACATAGATTATGACTTGATGTTCTAGAATTAGAGGAGACAACTACTCACCTCTAAATAAAGGGATTGACGGAATGATGGAACAAGATGAACGAACGGTTGACAACGTTGAACGACGAATGGTTTGTCGTGGTCACCTCCTTCTCTTCTTCCTCCTCGTCTACTCACCGGAACCTCTCCATACCTGGATGCTTGGCCGAACACACAAAGGAGAAGAGAGAGAGTTGGATGTGTGAGTGTGTGGGAGTTACAAAATTGGTGAGGGGAAGTGAAGAGAGAGAGAGGGTTTAAATTGAGGACATGAATGGAGGGTTTTAATGGGAAAATGAATGAGAAATGGAGTATTAAAGTGGGGAAAATGAAGGGTGGCGTATGGATGATGGGGGTTACATACTTTATTTTACTCCGTTATGTTAAAATCTGGCATGAACGGTACACGTTTCCCCCCCAAATGGGTCCGAATTGAGATTCGTTTGTGTTTTTGGAATCAGACAGTCAAAACAAATTTAATGATATGTTCAAATAATTTTTCTAAGAACTTTATTTTCAAACTTCTGGGTCCACCCCAATCATTAATTAATTCATTTAATTAATGTTGAGAGGTCCGTTATTAAAACATCTTTTTATATTAAAATACATTAGCTTTGAAAAGCCATTTAAAGAAATCGGAAATCTTAATACTGATTACTAAAAATAATGAGTCTCAATAAATAAATAATATTTATTTATTTAAAACTAGGCCGGTTTGTAGGGCGTTACACGGGGTCCACGGAAGGCGGGTGTTACAGACCATACCCCCCCTATATATGCTTAAAAAATATAAACCCAAGTTACAGCAGTAGATACGATTTTGCTGTAGAGTCACACTCACCAACCAGGCCCCAAATTCAAACACAAAGCCAATTCCTCATCACAACCCGTAACCAAACATCATTCTTAGATCATAATGATATGAAAAACACACTAACAAACACTTGGGGGGACGAAAAAGCAATAGCCAAAATAGTAAAAGAAGTGGTTCTCTGAAAGCCCACACTTCTAAAACCACATGTGAAAAACAAACATCATGCCACCCACAAATTGATTTCCACATACAAAAGCTATATGAACTTGTTTAATGGCATTTTGCTTTGCAAACCCGAAAAAACAAACGGAAAAGAGCAAGAGCCAAGCCTTTTTTAGCCGACCGGAAAAACCTTCACTGACCATGCCCCCCGCTACATGATGCAACGATAGCCGCATTCCCCAAGCGAGCATGTGAAAACATGATCATGCCCGCCGATGTCACATCAGTGCGCAAGAGGTAACACACGGTGGTGGAGGCTATGTGGGCCAAGTCACAATCGAATGTCGTGGGCGCTTGTGTGTTGAATGCACTATAAGGCTAGGGTTTGCGCCTCTTCTAACACCAACTGGTTTTAGAAGAGTTGGTAGTGCCTGAGGTCCTACAAGTGGTATCAGAGCCAAGGTCACGAGTTCGATTTCCAGCGGGAGCAATTGCTGAGGGGGAGATTGTTGGCCATGTGTGCAGCAATTGTCCAGTGGCGGAGGCTATGTGGGCCAAGTCACAATCGAATGTTGTGGGCGCTTGTGTGTTGAATGCACTATAAGGCTAGGGTATGCGCCTCTTCTAACACCAATTGGTTTTAGAAGAGTTGGTAGCGCCTGAGGTCCTACAAGTGGTATCAGAGCTTAACTCTCTTCCAGACTTAATTGTTTGAGAGGAATAAGATCATGGGCTCTTCTTTTAGAAACTTGTACGCAGGTATTGGCGAAGGGCAATCCACCTCCAAGCCACCGCTCTTTGATGGCACCAATTACTCCTATTGGAAGGAACAGATGAGAATCTATATCCATTCCACCAACTTCCAATTGTGGTTGGTCATCATAAATGGCAAGCAAATCCCAACGAAGAAAGTGGGAGAAACCACGCTTCCAAAGACCGAGGACGAGTTCGATGCCGAGGACATCAAGAAGGTTGAAAAATATGCAAAGGCCATCAACATGCTATATTGTTCCGTCAACCCCGACGACTACTGAAAGATCTCATGTTGCACAACCACCAAGGAGATGTGGGACAAGCTTGAAGTGACGTATGAAGGTACCGATCAAGTTCGTGAAGCCAAGATCGACTTTCTCACCCAAGAATACGAAATGTTCCGTATGAAGGAAGGTGAGAAAATCGACGACATGTTCGACCGGTTTTCAAAAATCATCAACGATCTTCACGCCTTGGAGAAGAGCTACTCCAACAAGGATCTAGTGAGGAAGATTCTTCGAAGCTTGACTCTGTTGAAACACGGGTTTATCACGTTTTCGTACTAAAGCCGTGTTCGTTTTTATGACAGGTTTTGATAGTGCCAAACCGCCGTGAACGAGACAAGTTGTTGAATATACAAGGCGAGAAATAAATATAAGAAGAAAACAAGAGAACAAGAGCTAGAAGAGACCAAGAACGAAGACTGTAGTCTTTAGCGTCGTTGAGTCGGTCACAATGTGATCAAGACCGACCCAAGCTTTACACTTTGGCTCTTTAGGATAAAACATTTTTCATTGCATTTTACATATCATCAAAACTATTTTCAAACATTCTTAAACATATTAAAAACACTTGGTGTTCGCCCAACCCAAAAACCAAGCCATCCGGGGTTTGGCTTTCGGAAACCAGCGTTCGGCATTCGGTTATCGGCGTTGGTTTTTGGCGTCCGAACCAACCAAGTGGTTTTCAACTTCTTATGATTAGTTTTTATTTCTGGGAACATTTAAATAGTTTTCCATCAAAAACACTTCAAAAACCACCTTTCGTTTTTTGTCGTTTGATAAAAACCATGCGAAACGGCATAAACTTGGCTAGCTGTGGTTTTTACTTAAATGAAGTGTTTTTCGAGTCTTTTTGTGTGGGAATTGTTTTTGAATGAATTTAAATGGTTCTCCAATCAAAACATCATGAAAACCACCTTTCGGTTTTGTCTTTTGGTGAAAATCACCCGTGTACGGCATTGACTTGGTCAACCATGGTTTTTACCTTAACGACGTGGTTTTCAACTTAAAAAGCTTGTTTCGACATAACAATACATTAAATAAGTGTTTTATATACTTAGTTTTTACTTTGGAGAACTTTGCATTTTTCGGTCGGGTATTTGTGCCGTTCAGCTAAGCCAGGTTCTGGGCTAGCCATCTACCCAGCGATGGTAGATATCACTCATCCATGGGTAAGTGATCCCGGGATTCCAAAATCATTCCACCCAGCGATGGGAGATATTACCCAGCGATGGGTAAGCAGCCTTCAGCCTAACTGATTTCCAAAACCATGCCAAACAGCGATGGGAAGTTCTACCCATCGCTGCTTAAGCCTTGGTCCAACATTTTCACAAGGTAGAATGACCTTACCCAGCGATGGGAACCTTTACCGATCGATGGGAACCCAGCGATGGGAGGGCATACCCATGGCTGGTTAGGCATGACCATTGGGAGTCATTTAAGGCTGATTCTTTCCTTGTTTGAAAGTCAACCTCCCACCCAGCGATGGGAAGCATTTACCCATCGATGGGTAGGTGACCGTTGGCTTCAAAACTGAACGAAAATTGGCTTACCAGCGATGGGTAAGTCCATACATCGCTGGGAAAGCCAATATCCTGCAGATCTACATTTTAATCAATCCCATAAATCAAGCCAATCATCCCTTTAATGTATTGGTCCGTTGGAGCCTACTTTGGCACTATAAAAAGGGGTGTTTGGGTCTGCTTTACACACCAATTCACTTCACATTATTCATATTATCATTGCATTCAAACAACATCATTTTCCATAGCTTTCTAGAGCCAATTTGTGTGAAGTTTGAGTTGTTCTTGAGCGTACTTAGTTTACTCATTATCTACTCTTAAAGAGAGTCTTTTTCTTGAGTGTTTAGTGTTGTTTACACATTAAGGGAAGCTTGTTTCCCTTGGTCGTACGAAGGAAAGGTATTTTCCTTCGGGTTGAAGTCTTGGAGTGCGGTATCTCCGAGCAAGTGTATTGAGGCTCGTGGGACTCGAGTTCCCAGGTTGTAACGGTTTGTTAAGCACCCGTAAGCTTAACGGTAGTGTAGCTCGAGAGAGTCTCTCGGGAGGCTGGATTAGCCACAAGCTGTGGTGAACCACGGTAAATTCAGTGTGCCTCTTACCCTTCTCTTTTAAATTTTTTAATTCCTGCGATTTCTACGTTCAAACGCTATTCACCCCCCCCCCTCTAGCGTTGGTCCTTTTTTCTAACAATTGGTATCGGAGCCTAACTCTCTACAAGCCTTAACTGGTTGAGAGAACGAATGGCGCTTATTCTAACAGACTCCCGAATGGCGCTCCAAGGCCGATGCCATTTACGAGTCAATTGGCGTCTCCAAGGTAACATGTAAATTATTATTACCTATATCAAACGAATACACCAATTGTTAAGTCACAAAATGTCATATTTTATTCCCTCATTTCTTAGTACTTTTGAGATATTTTATATGCATTTTATACTTAAATGAACATATTTTGTTAAATTTAGCATTTTAGGCTATTGTTTACATTTTATACATAAAATGCATGATTTTGAGCATATTTATATTTATTAATTAATTTAGAGTGTTATTTTCCTTAATTAATACTCCCTCTGTCCACCATAGATCTTCCCAATAGCCCTTTTTCTTTGTCCACAATAGATCTTCTCATTTCATTTTTTAACAAGTAAAATACCACAACTACCCCCACTTACTTTATTTATTACACCCCACCCACCTCATTTAATACACTCCACCCATTTTTCATTAAGGGTATTATGGTAAACTTTCACCTTTTTTCAACTCTCCTTAAAAACCACCAAAAGTCAAAATGAGAACATCTTAGGCGGACGGAGGGAGTATGTTTTAGATATATTTTGGAGTAAAAAAGCATTGGAAGAAAGTGAAGAATAGGCCCAGCCCAGACAGCTATTTGGCCCATCATAAACCAATGTGGAGGAAATCAGAAGGACAATAAAAAAATAAAGTAAATAGTCCTCCAATCCGTAGAAAGCATAGCAGGAAAGACCAGCTGTGTTCCTCCTAGGCGCAAGAAACGGGAAGTGCGAAGAGTTGGATTCCCAAAGTCTTCTTCTCCAATTCAATGACTTTCAATTTCAAATATTAAAAGAAGAGATAGAGATGAGACAAAACGGAACAGAGAGAGCGGACCTAGGGTTTCAACCCTAGGTCCGGCGCGGCGTCCTCCGACGAAGGGAACAGCAATTGCACGCCATGAATGCTGGTGATGAAGACTAGTGACGAAGATGGAGCGCAGCGGTGGATGGCGACTCATCTGGTGGTCTGTGCACTGAACAAAGAAGCGACAGTCACAGGGGAGCATGTCCATTCCTTTTGTTTCTTCAAATTGATTTTACTTCTTTAACATTAGGATTTTAGATTTGTTAATTTTTTAAATTGATAAATTTGACTTCCAATATTTAAATATGTTTATTTTCAATTTCATGTTAATTTGTTGAATGTTTAAGTTATATTATAAGTGTTGAATTGTTTTTGTTGATGTTGAATTGTTCAAGTTATGATTTATTGATTGATTATTGTCTCTGAAATTATAAAACCTTCTTAGGCCAAATTGTTTTATAAAAAGATTGAATCTTTGTTTGTTGAATTAATTTGACTTTGAAGAGATTTTAGCTCTACGCTACGGTTAAATCTAAACTTAAAAGGTGTTCTGAGAACTATTATTCACCGGATTTTACTTAAATTGGACCAAATTTGGAACGCGCGCCTAATCCAGTTTAAATTGATATTCTTTTAAAGTCCAAAGTGCTTTAAATAGCCGAACTTTTCTAGGAACTAAGTGTCACTTGATTAGCTTTGACTGCCTCGCTAAGTGGTTTTTGCTAATCAAGGTTCTCGAACTGATTTTGTTAAATAACCGTAGTGTTACTGCAAAGTTGTTATGGTGATGTTTTCCACAAATCTTAATGCGCTATTCTTAGTAGTAACTTAAGGGTTGGTCTTTGGGTTGCTAAGGGTAGTAGGGTTTAGAGTTAGGGTTGGTCTTAACATGAGCTAATATGAATGGGAGAATAGGGAAGAACCGTTGGTGGACCTGTTCTTCAGCCTAACCCTGAGTTTAATTAGCAGTTTAGTTTCAGAATCAAGGCATAATTAATTAGTTAGTCATATTTGTTCAGTTTATTTTCTATTGAAAACTATAAGTATTTTCAAAATAGTTTAAGTTAATTGTTATTGTCTACGTTTTATAAAGTTTATTGTGTGATTGTTTTTGTGTGTTTGTTTTTCCCCTGAGTGACTTTTGAGTTTGGCTTGCTGCTGTGGTTTCGTCTCGTATCTCTTATCTGTTATCCTTTATCTTTATTTTATTTGCATTTTTATCTTTTTAGAATTATCATTCAAACCCCCCCATATCCTTTAGTTTTAGTTTTTAGATTTTAGTTAGTTTTTATTCAATAAAAGTGACGAGTAAACTGATTTTCATAACCTAAAAAGTATCTTTCCTCGTGGGATCGACCCTTACTTGCCCTATCTATATGTTTTGATGAATATTGAATCATAAAGGGGGATTTAAGTTAAGGAAAATAATAAATTAATTTGTAGGTGCTACGACACGCCTAACACCAATGTCAAATGCTTAACCATGATAATGGTTACGTGCATACCTACAAACTAAGGAGTTACACTCCACACGGGTTACAAGAGCAAATACAAATACAAGTACAACAAAGTTACACGCAAAGTACTTCAAGGTTTACAAATTAACAGGTTACAACAACATCACAACAATTTCATATTTAAGGGTGTCCTTAACACATAGACACTAGCATCAAAAGGTGGTGCAATATCTTCATGCGGTACACCACACTTCATCACTTTCAGATTAGTGCACGTACAGCTGGTCACTCAAGTTATCAAAGGTCTGATCATCACACACACACACAAGGTCTAGGCTAATCACAAAGGTCATCCTCATGGTTAAGCAGGTAACATCAATGTATTCAAATAGCAACATGGTCCACCAGAGGGTAAACATAGGAATCACAACAGAAGAACTCCAATGTAGCAAGAGAAAACTGGCAGGGTCATCAGCATCACCGGGCATACAGCAGCAAGTAAGATCATCACAGGCCATACGACAGCAATTAAGATCTTCATTAAGTGGACTCGTACAGGAGAGCTTGCCAAGATTCCAGACATATCTCCCACAACCATATTTCAATGGTATAGGCAGAGGTTAATCAGCAGCAGCATCAGCAAATCAGTTCACAAAGAGGGTTGAGGACCAGGCAGGGTCCAAAAACCATCAATCCAAGCTATCTGGGTACAAATCCAAGAGATGGCAGGCCATCAAAGATTTCCATAAAGAGTAGTTTCTAACAAAGGTCAGAAAGATCAAAGTTCCAAGGTACAAACACAATTCACATCCATCAATCAAATCCAGATCAAAGTCAAAACTAGGATATAGTCCAAGCTATCTGTAACGCCCTGAAAACCGGTCTAGAAATTTTAACCTTCTAGTACAAAGAAAAGAAAAATATTTTTAAAAAATAAATACAAAAAAAAATAAATTTTAAATTTAAAAAATGTTACTATTATTTATCTAGAAACAATCTATTTGGAACTTAATTAGAATGATTAATTACTAGTAGCGATATAGAATAAAGTGAAAGGGAATAAAAATTAGTCGGGTTCTCTACCATCTGAACAATAGAGCTTGTTCAAATGAACTTATTTTCTTGAAAAACAAATTATATTAAAAATGATGTGTGAGAAATATGAAACCCAATGATATAAGTTTTATATTTTTCTAAAAATTGGACAACTGAAACTCTGAAATCAAATACGTAATGTTGAACAATAGGTGCAAGAGAACCTTTTTGTTTTTCCCTTGGTAGTCACGCCTAGAGTAACCCATTTGATCCATGCATCTCATTAAAGATATTAATAATGAATGTCCTTTAATTTATCAAATAGATGCATTAAAAAAAATATAATATTTGTTTTTGAGACCATCCATTTTCCCTCCCATCCACCTATAAATAAGGGCCTAAAGTAGGTAGCTTAGGGTACTTCCTTAGTGAGAGTGGTGGAGAGGTTAGCTTGAAGAGGGTAGCGGGGCGTTGCTGTCGGTGTACCGTTAAAGTTACTTTCGCGTTAACAACATCAAAGGTGTGCCTGTTGACCCTAATCTTTAGTCATATATTCCATGTTGATATATTTTGTGCATTTCATCTTATATTTTCATAAATCTAAATCTTACGTCTTGTTCAAACCAATTCTGGAATAATGAAATTACCTATATATTTTCAGAACTTGATTTTGTTTTTTTTAAAAAAAAACCTTGTGCATGTTAATGTGTAATCTCTTGTCTCTTGGTGTAGTACACGGATATATTGTTGACATAACAGAAAAAAACAATACAAACACATCAAGATGGAAAAAGAAACAATTGACAAATGGTGTAGAGAAAAAAAGTTTTTGTTCTCTTCCATACAGCTTGGGACAATGGTATTTGCAAACAAAAAAAAAATTGAGACAAGTTCGATTGAAAGAAATTGATTTTTTTGTGTGTGCAGTGGCACCAAAATATTAAAGTGAGAAATTTAAAAAAAATATTTTTTGTATTGAACCATTTATATTACATTATTCTATAATACTAGTTGCTTAAATCTTGTTTACTAAATCTTGTTTACTAATTACTTACCTATTTGTTTATTGTTTGGGCCAAATGCATCGAAAACTAAATCAAAAAAAAATAAGATAAATAGATTATATACGAAGGCCGTAGTTTGATAAGGAATCAAATAAATAATTATTTTTGTTTTATAACTGGACTTGCGGATAAATAGAGAAATGAGGTTTTTTTTTACGACCTAAGAATGATTCACATATTTGTTGTGTTTTATTGATAAATTTAAGTATATTAAGTTAGACACTTTTGATACTCAAGTAGAGTTTTATTCTTCTATGACCCCGTGGGTCTAAGGTTCACTTCTGATTACTAGACCCGAGGTCACGGGGAGGTATTCGAAGTAAAACTACGAATCGACTAGTGCGGTGTTCCAGCCTAGTCACGGCTTAGTTTCTAATCTGTGGTTAACCTAGTAGTCAAAAGTTTTTTAAATGTCCCCGAGTAACTATTCAAAGTGAAAATATTTCCTCGATGATTTTTAATTATGCAAAAAGTTTTTTTCTTTTTGAATTAAATTGAATAACTTAAAAGACCCAAAATATATTTACATGTTATATATATATATATATATATATATATATATATATATATATATATATATATATATATATATATATATATATATATGTCTACTGGTTATTTGCCACTCAGCTTATGCTGAGCGTGTAGTGTTTAACTGCACGCAGGTACTAGCAAAGAAAACAACTGCTGAGGAGGAAAGCTTGGACGTGGAGGCCGTGCCGAAGGAGTTCTCATTTAATATTTAATAATGAATAAAACGTCGAACTTAATTTACATTGTTTTTTTGGGCTTGAACCCAAGGTTGTATTAACTGTGGATGTTTTTAATTTAATCTTACGCGAAAAACGTTTTTTTTAATTCTCTTAAGTTATCAAAAAGAGAATAAATTTCGGATAAATAATATTTTACAAAGTAACCCGGTTTTACTAGCACTCTGGTCTGGATGACTTGGGTCATCCAGGGTAGGGTGTTACAATATCCTAACCCAAGTTGAAGGAAACTGGGTTAGTTTAGTTGGTCAAAATCCAGGAAAACAGCAAGGAGAGAGGAGAAAGGAACAAAGAGAGAAGGGGGGAGAAGTAAACAGAAGAAGAGAAGGGGAAAGAGGGAAGACAAAGGGAAGGAGAGGTGGTGAGACAACCCAAACCAGGATCTAATCCCACTTCTAACCACCCAACAGGGGTAGGAAGAAGTAAGTTTGTTTCCACAGCCAAAAACCCACCCAAAAAACTACCCAGGAGTCAGGCCACTCTACTTTAGCCCAATCAGAAGAAAGAGTTGGGTTAATTTGGTGTGGCATGGTTCCAAGAGAGGACAAAGTGAGGGAGAAAGGAAGGAAAATGAAAAAAGAAGGGGGGAGAGGGGAAGAAGGAAGGGAAAGAGGGTAAACCCTCAACAAACCCAGGACCCAAAAGTCTCTCTATACATCCAGAAGGGGTGCACAGAGTTAACTTTGTTTCCTACCACCGTAATGGCAAGCCATCAAGGTTTAAACATCAAAGCATGGAAGTACTTGGTGCATTTATCCCCCTCAACAATCAAATCAGTTTAAACCTTCTGCTGGACGAAGGCTCTCTCAGCCTCCAAATAAAAACTTGCCTTTTTCCTTTGCATATCACTCTGTTTTAAAAGGTTTTGATTATGAGGTTGAAGTAATAAGTCCTTCATGACAGCAGTGTATTCCTTCCTGACCTCTTTTGCCCTCTGTAATATGTGACCAAATTCTTGCTTGTTGAGCTGCTTTAGAGGTTGTTTTAGCATCTTCAATTTTTTGCAAAGTCTAAACTGCCTGGTACCCTCCACCCAAATGCTCCAGTTGTTCTGTAACAGACCATCAAAGGACTGATGGTTTAACCACATATTGAAGAATTTGAATGGTCTGGTTCCCTTGGTGGTGCTGTTAATGATATTCAGAATCACAAGACAATGATCAGATTCCACTTGCATATCACCAAATTCTGCCCAGCACTCCCAGTTAATGGCTTCCCAATCATGATTCACCAAAACCCTGTCCAACTTAGCCCATTTGTCCCCTTTGTTCCAAGTATAATGTTGTCCAACAGATTTGGCATCTATTAGGTCATTATTGACTCTGAATTGTAAGAGATCATTCATGGAATAAGCTTAATAGGTATGACAGTTTCATCTTTCATCAGAGGCAGCAACATAGTTAAAGTCTCCCATGATTTCCCAGGGTATTTGCAGATTCCCAGCGATAGTTGACAGATTATCCCACAAGTTCCTCTTGATACTGACATTATACAAAGCATAGACAAAAGAAATAGAAAAACTTTTTTGTGTGATCAAGCATTGAGCCTCACAGTGAATAAACTAGTCAGTAGTAGCCTTGACAATACAATTAACAAAATCAGAATTCCAAAAGATGGCCATTCTCCCTCCCTCAGTCATAGCAAAATTATCAGCAAAATTCCAATTGGGAAGTTTATTGTAAGCAAAAAGTTTAAGTTTGGCCATAGTCATCTTGGTTTCAAGGATGCAGCGAAAATGGGCCTCAAGATCATGCATGTATTTACACAAAAAATGATGTTTAGAGGCCCTATTTAGGCCTCTAATGTTCCAGCAAAGTACCTTCATCTGCGGTTAGGCCCAAAGGCCCTCCCTCTACCTCTGCTGGCACCCCCCTTGTTGTTTCCATGGTACTGATTCCCTCCAGCCCTGCCACTGCTTTTAGTATTAACAGTAGGCTTATCCACTCTCTTATCCCCAATGTCTGGAGGCTCTTTAAGGGTGACTCCTTAGCTGGAATATTGGTAAGGGTTCCCACCCCAGTTCCAACAAGAGTGTCACCATCATTGGGGTCTTTGACAGCAAAAGAAGGTAATGGTTCATCAACATCCTTAGATTTCTGGAGTATCTCATCTTCCACAACTTTCTTTCCTTTGTTCTCATCTGGTGGTTGGGTTTCATTTACCAAGGGTACTTAGAATCTGGCTTCTTCCCAGTTTCCTTAGTGTTCTTGGGGTTATGTGTTTTATTTGTACCCTTGGCTTTAGCTTCAGCTATCTTGGCCTCTTTTAGAGCCTCAAGTCTGGCTAATTCCTCTAATCTCTCCTTCTCCAAGAATTGTCTTCTGTGGATTTCATGCAGTGCCTTGCAATCAAAAGGGTTGTGACCAAAGACTTCACAATGATAGCAGTACTCAAGCATATCCTCATATTCAACCTTCTGTGTAAAGCTCCCCTCATCATATGCAACTTTAACACACAAGGGAGGTTTCACAGATAGGTCCATGTTGATCATTACTCTGCAGTAGTTCACCTTCCTATAATCTCCATCAGCATTGGGTTCCATGGAAGTGTAAAATCTGGAAGCAGATGTGTAAGTCACTCCATCAGAGTATAGAGGTGTTCCAAGTTTGGAAGCAAGGAAGGAGAGGCCTAAAGGGTTCCAGAATCCCATGGGAACATCCAGGAATTTGACCCATACTGGCATAGTAGCAAAAGATTTGCAGTTCCACATGAAGTCCTTTTCTGGAATCTTGAACATCAGTTTTTTCCTGTTAATTGTCAGCTCCTCTACTGGTTTGGTCATGACTGCCTGTCTGTGTTCATCCGTCCAAAAATTAAAGACTATCCATCCCCTCTTATGTGGGAGGATTTCACAAGGAACACCCCAGGTGTTCACCATCTTTTGAATAGCCTTGAGCCCAGGGAATTTTCCTGCAAAGCACCCCACAAGGCAACACCCCCAAATATCTTCAACAGGTAGGATAGCTTCCTTTGGAATGAAAACCTCTTCAGTATCAGGTAAATCAACTTTGAAGAGCTGCATTCCTTGCTTCTCTCCCCTGTTATTTTTGAGCAAGTTAGCAAAAGTTTTTTTACGAGGTGGCTCAGGCATTTTCTCAAACACCTTGGGGGTTTCCTGGTTATGTTCAAGTAGTTTGTCCTTCAAATCCTTCTCCACAGCTTCTTCATCAATAGAACGAGTAACCGATTTGTTATCAGATGATGTATCATCTTCCCCATCCTTCGCAATAGCATTTTCACAATCAATGATATCATTAACAGATTCATTATCATCAAAGGAGTTCTCAGAATCCACAGTGCTCGCAGTGACTTCATCATCCACCTTGAACTCCGGAAGCTTCTTCTTCGGGGGAGTTGGGGGTGTGGGCTCTTTCCTACTCTTCTTCCCCATCACAACTCAAGAGAAAGCATACCTGAATTTGGAGAGGGGTAAAGCGCAGAACCCTAGCAGCGTTGACTTCCAAACTCCAACGGAACTGGAAGGAACCACTAATGAGGAGAGTTGCCTTGATGTGGAGAACAAGAATCTGGCCCTGAAAGAGAACGATTCCACCGGTAGAGCAGCGAAAATGGACGGCGATGGTGACGAGCTACAGTAGCTCACTCGCTAGAGAGAGAAACTCGACCGAACATAACGTCACACTTGATTGATTAAGAGGTAATCTCAAAGCTTACTAATATATCATTCTTAATCCATCATTGGACGAACAAAAGAAAAAGGAAATAGCTCTCAAAGCCACCAAGGAACCGGTGGAAGAGGTTTCAAGCGATGACGACAACGAGTTTGGAATCGTCATCAAGAAGTTTCACAAGTTCATGAAGAAGGAGTTTGAGCGGAAGGGAAGGAAGCACGACGGTTCTCCCAAGTGCTACGGCTGTGGCGAGATTGGCCACATCAAGCCACGGTGTCCAAAAGCCAAGCACGGCAAGGACAAGCCCGACTTCAAGAAGCAAAGGGCTTACATCTCTTGGGGTGGAGATTCCGGCGACGAATCAACTGACCAAGAGGAGGACGAAGCTGCAAATCTTTGCCTCATGACGCACAAAGATCAAAACGACAACGTCCAAGAGGTATGTACCATTTCTTCCGACTCTTACACTTTTGAAGAAATGCAAGAAGCACTTCATGAACTTTATGAAGAATTTGTTAGCGCTTCCAAAATGAATAAATCTTTAAAGAAACGTCTTTCTATCCTTGAAAATGATTTTGAAAAATTGAAAAAAGACAATGAAAAATTAAAACAAGAAAACAATTTTTTTGGAAAAAGAAGCGCTGACAAACCGGAAAGTTCCTCAAGTGAATGTGAATCTTGTAAGGCTTTAAAAGAACAAGTCACTAAACTTGAGAGCATGGTCAAGAAATTTAATACTCCGCACAAAGATTTAAATTTTCTCCTTGACACTATGCATTTTTCTAAGGAAGGAATAGGTTTTAATAAAAATGAAGCTAAGGTTAAGGAAAACATTGAGCCACCACCTAGACAACCATCTAAGGCTCAACGTAGGAAACCTAAAAATCAGGATAATAGAAAACCTAGTCAACCTAAGGACACTAGACAACCTAGACTAAAACCTGGGAATGAAAATGTTCATGGTAGACAACCTAAGAAAATGATTTTGTGCATAAAACTGATTTCTCTCAAAATAGAAGAAATAATGTTAGAGCACCTAGAAAAGTTCAATTTCAAAACTTTCAAAAACCATCTTTTTCACAAAATAGGAATAAAATGGTGAAGTCCTATAACTATTATGAACCTAGGCACATGTACAACCCCAACGTAGTTTGCATTTATTTTAATAGGATAGGCCATATTGCTCCTGTTTGTTACACCAGGCATATACACCTATCACAAAATCAAGCACACTACCATCACACACCTAACACACGAGGACCCAACGTAAATTGGGTACCTAAAACTCATTGATGTGTTTCATAGGTGTGCTTGAAGGCATCAAGTGTACTTTGGTACCTTGATAGCGGATGCTCCAAGCACATGACCGGGGATGTATCCAAGTTTCTCCAAATCAAACCCGCTAAAGGAGGAAACGTAATTTTTGGAGACAATAGCAAGGGAAAGATTATCAACATTGGTTCGGTAGGTAAATCTGAAACTCCTCTATAGATAATGTCTTGCTAGTTAAAGGTCTTAAACACAATCTCTTGAGCATAAGTCAATTACGTGACAAGGGGAATCGTGTGAGCTTCGATTCAAAATCATGCACGGTAGAACGCCTTATTGACAATGAGGTTATTCTACGTGGTGATAGAATCGATAACATTTACATGGTTAACTTAGACAAATCACCTTCCGGCTTTGCTAAGTGCCTCATGAGTAAAGAGGAAGACACTTGGTTATGGCACCGAAGGGTATCTCATATGAACATGAACCTGTTGAACAAGTTGGTTTCACAAAACATAGTAATTGGCATTCCAAAACTTAAGTTTGAAAAAGAGACCATTTGTGATGCATGTCAAAAGGGGAAGCAAGTTTGGGCTTCGTTTAAGTCCAAAAACGTTGTTTCAACGTCTAGACCGCTTCAACTTTTGCACATGGATCTCTTTGGTCCTTCTAGAACGAAAAGTTTTGGTGGTAATTGCTTTGCGTTTGTGATTGTCGATCACTACTCTAGGTTTACATGGACCTTGTTTCTTACTCATAAAAGTGAGGCATTTCATGTTTTCAAAAATTTTCTAAAGAAAGTTCAAAATGAAAAATACACAACCATAGTAGCCATAAGAAGAGATCATGGGGGAGAGTTCGAACGAAATCTGTTTTCAGATTTGTGTGACAAACTTGGCTTTGATCATAACTTCTCAGCCCCACGTACACCACAACAAAATGGAGTGGTGGAACGTAAAAATAGATGTCTCGAAAATATGGCTAGAACTATGATCAATGAGGCTAAAAGCCCTAAGTATTTTTGGGCGTGTAACGCCCTGCAACCCGGTCTAATAGAATTGATTAATTTAATTAATTAATTACTGTTCCAGACCGGAGTTGGGGAAAATGAAGAGTTCTTAGAAAAATTATTTGATCATATCATTAAATTTGTTTTGACTATCTGATTCTAGAAATGCAAACGGATCTCAATTTTGACCCGTTCGGGGGAAAAGCGCGTACCGTTCAGGTAAGATTTTACACAACGGAACCAAATTAAGGGACGCTTAAGTGTAATATCTTACGTTCAGGTAATATCTTAATATGTACGTAGGTGCATATTATATTGATAATATGTGACTGGATTGACCCATCTTGAGAATACTGCATGGATCTACAGTAATGTGTTTATCAGTATTCTCAATTCGACATTGCTATAACTATCCTCAGACTTGAAGTTATTACATTCTCTAATATGTGGGGCCGTATATTTTGATTCATAACTAATTCTATCTGAAATACTGGTAGACGTACAGTTATGCGTTGGGTATGCCGCTAAGCATATTTGGAGATGTGAATAATAGATACAGGATCTGTCCCTTCCACTGTATAGAAGTATAATGTCAATGGGCCCACTGAATAGTAGGACTTGGGAAAGTGCATGGCCATGCCGAGATATATCGCTACCCAGAGACTGATAAATATCTGATCCCTACCAGTCTACTTGAGATTCAGTAACAGCTTATTTAACTATACAAGGATACACATCCCATGCCTTGTGTTAAATCATGACATTTAGGACAGAAGGGTAATAGTTATAAAGCGTCTTGTGTCGTAGAAGGTATTGATGAGATGAACGTCTTTTTCATAATCTGGGGTAATAATGTGTTGCTAGATACCGCTTATTATCTATGGTATTAATTTTATTAATATCATTGCCAGTGTTATGGATACCTAAAGGGTCACACACTTAGGACTTGTAAGAGAGTAGTATACTACACTAGTGGGAGTAATATTAAATATATAGTTGTGATAATTTTATATATATGTATATTTCGAAAATACATATGTATTTTAAAATTATATTTTGTTTGTGTTATTTTAATTATATGATAATTATATTTTGACAAAACAAATTTTATTATATATATATATATATGAAGGGCCGAAGTTATATATATATATATATATATATATATATATATATATATATATATATATATATATATATATATATATATATATATATATAAACCTGAAAACACCACCAAAATCAGTGGGGTAAGGTCCAGGCAACCCTTACCGAATTTATTGATAAAATCATAGAGTTACACGTTCGGGGAGGACTAGACCGAAGCCCCGAAGGTTGAAACCAAAACTTACACAACACACAAAATACAATACATCGAATCCAAGAAAATAAAAGATAGGCATAACTTACACAACATCATGTGAGTGTTGTTGCAATTGATTTCCCCCCAAGCGCAAATATCTGAATTCCCGAATTAACCATGCTCTCATCTCTGATCATCCATCCCTTGTTACGGTATTTCCAATTCCACAAATTCATGTTGCTCTTAATGTTATAGATTATATTGTTGGTATTCAGATCTTCGTTACCGAATGAAATTGCAGAATATTGCTTCCAAATACACCAAGCAATAACTCCTGGCATCACCAATTTCATGTTCCCACGAAGTGTATGGGTTTCTGCTATTTCATCCCAAATATATCTGATCTTACCACATTGAAGAATGCAGTGGTCTACTGTGGCTTCATTCTTTTTGCAAAAGGGGCACTGAGAGGGCAGGCTATAGCTCATTCTAGAGAGAACATCAGGGAAAGGTAATATGTCATTATTCAGCTTCCATAGAAACAATTTGACTCTTGGGATTTGCAAGTTATTCCAACAGAACTTGTCAGAAATTGCCATGTTATTATGCGGTCTACAGCTTTCATAAGCATGCTTTAACTTAATCTTCACCACCTCATCATCCTCTGGTAGCATATCTCCCATAGATTCCCCCCTTATCATGTGAATTCTGCATATTCTTTTCCTGGCTGGTGAGTCTGTCATTTTTTCATCAAAGTTGTTAGCCCCGTATTTATTTCTCATGAAAGAGGCCCAATTAGAATCTGAGTATCTATAGTTCCACCATAATTTAATGGAATAAGCTTCATGAAGATCCTCCAAATCTCTGATTCCCAGCCCCCCTTCTGAGGTAGGTTTGCTGATGTCTTTCCACCCTTTCCAATGATATTTATGCTTCCCATCTCTTTGTCCCCATAAGAAGTTGCTCATCATCCTCTGTAGAGAGTTAATAATAGAAGTAGGGAGAGAGTGAACAGCTTGAATATGTAGAGGGATGGAAGATAAAACATGTTTTATC